GAGAATACCATGGATGTCTTTTCTTCATGAAACTTCACACAGAAGTAGAATGGTCGGCCAGGTTTGATATCCTCAAATTTTAGGATTTGTTTATTTTTTTTAGTATTTTTTTATTTTACTATTCATACAGGGTGCATGGCATCAGAGAGCTCCTAATCCATGTCCGTGTCTGTGCGAACATAACGCGAAAGTTTAAGCACTGCTAGTGGATTTCACTATGTACCAATTGGTGCGATGATTGTACCAGTGTCATGTGGGGCCAGACTTATAGGCGCAAGGACCCTGCACCACCCTAGTTCTGTTCCAGTTTAATTATAGAGTCCTAGATTTAGGTTAAAGAGTCTGGGTCTTAGTTGGAAAGGTTTAGTCCCGAAGAAGGTTACCCTGCCAACACCCAATTAGAGTTGGAGTCTGTCACGTCATTGTAATAGGCTACTTACAGCCAGGAGTCTGTCACGTCATTGTAATAGGCTACTTATAGCCACCCCTATGGGATCGAGAAAAACAACCAGAAAATAATCTATCTTCTCACCTCGTGCACCTGCGCCTCGGCGCCCCCTCCTCACCTCTTTCTCCAACCATAGGCCGACGAGAGTTTCGCCCTCGTCCTCCGACCTCCCACGACTACAACCTCCGGTCCAATCCAACCCCAGCCCGTGACAACTTGGTATCAACTTCACCTTCGATACCGGCGGCTGCCATGGCCCCTCCGCCGCCCCTTCCGCAAACCCTAGAAGAACTCGCTGCCAAACAACAGGGGGACCATGAAGCTGTGGTCGCGACTCTCACCAGCCTCTCCGATGAAAATCACACCGCGCAGGCTGATCGCGCCGAGGACCGCGCCACCCTCAAGTCCATCACCGAGATGCTCCAGAAGCTCCAGGGTCAGCTCGCCGATACGTCACAGCAACAGCGCTCGCAGAATCTGGCCCTCCTCCGGCTTGAAGGGAAGGGCACGCCTCAACTTGGTGGCCTCGGGCTCATGCAGCCACCTGCGGCTACATCTAACGCCGGGGACAGGGCCGCCCTGTCGGATCCATCCGATTGTGCTCCGCGACTCTACAAAATCGACTTCCCCCTTTTTGACGGGGCGAGCGACCCACGTCCGTGGTTGACACGCTGCAACCTGTCCTTCCTCGGCCAGCGGACGCAGGATTCCGATAAGACGTGGCTCGCCTCCTACCACCTCACTGACGTCACCACCTTATGGTACAGCCATCTAGACGTAAAGTTGGGCCAGCGGCCAGTCCTGGGGAGAGTTTCAAAAACTCATCTCTAACCACTTCAGACTGCCGACACGCGCCAACCCCTTTGGCGAGCTGATCTCCACTTGCCGCTCCGGCACCGTGGCGGAGTACTCCAAGCGTTTCCTCGAGAATCTCTCTCGTGTGCACCCAATTGCCGATGCCGAGGAGCATGATATCTTCACCAACAATTTGGGCGAGCCCATGAAAACTCAGGTTGAGATCCTTAAACCTGCGACTCTAGACGCGGCTATGGACTTGGCAATTTCGTTCGAGCACCTCAACATTGTCACCGGAGCCACGGCCGCCGCCGCTCAGCCAAGCCGCCAAATTCGCCCCATGGCCAACCCCGGTGCGGTATTGTCTGAATCCTCCAGCTCCACGTCGCCGCTCGTATTCAAAAAGCTCACCCCGGCCAAGATGGACGACCGGCGCGCCAAAGGCCTTTGCTTCAACTGTGACGATAAGTTTGTTCGGGGCCATCACTGCAAACGTCTTTTCTACATCCAGTCAGCAGACGACGAAGAAGAGCCACTAGCGGATTTCCAGGAGGCCACAATCTCGCTTCTTGCTGTCACAGGGATTCCCACCAGCGACACCATGCAGGTCGCTCTTTGTGTCGGGGATCGTGACCTCGTCGCCTAGCTTGATTCCGGTAGCACTCGTAACTTCATCCACGAGGAGATGGCCACTGTCGTGGGGCTGCCCTTCTCCTCCGACCGCCGCCTCGTCGTCACGGTCGCTAATGGTGATAAGGTTACCGGCCGTGGACTCCTCAAGCATGCTGCTATCACGATTGACAAGGAACGCTTCATTGTCGACCTGCACGCCATACCATTGGGCGGATTTGACGTCGTCCTCGGCACGCGCTTCCTCAAAACCTTGGGGCCAATTCTATGGGATTTCAATACCCAGTGGATATCGTTTTGGCACAGGGATCACCACGTGGAGTGGTCAGGACTAGGCTCACCAGGACGGCTTGCCCACTTACATGTGTGCGACAGCAAGGACCTGCTCGACAGCCTCCTGGCCGCATTCACAGACGTCTTCGCCGAGCCCCAGGGATTGCCGCCGCCGCGCGCCCATGACCATCATATTCACCTTATTCCAGGGACACAGCCTGTTGCCGTACGGCCTTACCGCTACCCGACTATTCAGAAGGATGAACTGGAGAGACAATGTGCTGAGATGCTGGCTCGTGGCCTTATTCGCCGTAGTTCATCGGCGTTTTCGTCACCCGTCCTACTCGTCAGAAAGCATGATGGTACTTGGTGTTTCTGTATCGACTACCGTGGACTCAACCTTGTCACCATCAAGGACAAGTTTCCTATTCCAATCGTCGATGAGCTACTAGATGAGCTGAAAGGCGCCCGCTTTTTCACAAAACTGGACCTCCGATCCGGCTACCACCAAGTTCGGATGGCCCCTGAAGATATCCACAAGACGGCGTTCCGCACCCATGAGGGTCTCTTCGAGTTTGTGGTGATGGCATTTGGTCTGACAAATGCTCCAGCGACATTCCAGGCACTAATGAACGAAGTACTCCGTCCCTTCCTTCGTCGCTTTGTGCTTGTTTTCTTTGACGATATTTTGATATACAGCTCCTCCTGGTCGGATCACCTTCGTCATGTCAAGCTCGTCTTGGAGGCTATGCGCACACATCAGCTTTTCCTCAAGCGTTCCAAGTGCTCATTTGGGGAGGAATCCATGGCTTACCTTGGGCACGTCATCTCTGCAGCAGGAGTTGCCATGGACAGCAATAAGGTCCTCGCCGTGGTTGACTGGCCAGTTCCGCGCACTGTTCGTGTTGTGCGTGGTTTCTTGGGTCTTGCAGGCTACTACCGCAAATTCATCCGGGGTTTTGGCACCATTGCAGCACCCCTCACGGCGCTACTCAAGAAAGATGGGTTTCCCTGCACATCTGAGGCAGTCACCGCGTTCGACACTCTCAAGACTGCACTCACCACCGCACCGGTGCTCCAGCTACCGGACTTTGCAGTTCCGTTTATTGTGGAGTGTGATGCATCTGGGTCTGGTTTCGGTGCGGTACTGCATCAAGATGGCGGGCCAATTGCCTATTTTAGCAAAACCATAGCTCCTTGACATGCCTCTCTAGCCGCTTACGAGCGGGAGCTCATTGGTCTAGTTCAAGCCGTGCGCCATTGGCGGCCATACCTCTGGGGCCGCGCCTTCGTCGTCAAAACTGACCACTACAGTCTCAAGTTTCTGCTGGACCAACGCCTTGCACAATACCACAACATCATTGGGTGGGCAAGCTCTTGGGCTTTGACTTCACCGTGGAATACAAACCAGGCCGCCACAACATCGTCGCCGACGCGCTCTCTCGCCATGATGTTCCTACAAGCCACGCCTGTGCCATCCAGGGGACTTCTTTTGATCTATTTGAAGCCCTCCGGCAGGCTGCACACACAGACCCGGCGCTTGTTACATTGAGGGAACAACTGGAGTCTGGCGAGTTGGGGCTGCCTTGGGCTCTAGTCGATGGCATTGTTACCTTTCAGCAGCAGGCTTATGTGCCGCCCTCGTCACAGCTGGTAGCGGAGGTCCCGGCTGTGGCTCACATGAGTTCTGCCTTCCACCCGCAGTCAGATGGACAATCGGAGGCAGTGAATCGCGTCATCACTATGTACCTTCGTTGCATCACTGGGGATCGCCCACGCCAGTGGCTCCAATGGTTGCCGTGGGCCGAGTTCTGCTACAACACTTCATATCATTCAGCGTTGAAGGACACACCTTTCAGGGTGGTTTATGGACATGACCCCCCGTCTCTCCGGGACTATACTCCGGGCGAAATTCGCAATCAGGCGGTAGAACGGCAGATCATCGACCGCGACCAGTTCTTAATAGATGTCCGCAAGCGTGTCCTTCAAGCAGCACAGCAGTACAAGCATTACTATGATGACAAGCATCGGGCCCTTTCCTTTGATGTTGGGGAGTGGGCTTGGCTCCGTCTGCAGCACCGCCCAGCGGCATTCCTCGGAACAGGCGCAAAAGGCAAATTGGCACCCAAATACTATGGGCCTTTCAAGGTCCTCGCTAAAATTGATACAGTTGCTTACCATCTGGAGTTACCCCCTCGCACCCGCATTCATAATGTCTTCCATGTCGGGGTACTGAAGAAATACCATGGTCCGCCTCCTGAAGGTCCGCCCATGCTCCCTCCGCTGTTTCAGGGTCGAGTACATCCAACTCCCGTCCAGGCATTGCGTGCTCGTATTGCTCGCGGTATACAGCAGGTGCTGATTCAATGGGAGGGACAGCCTGCGTCTGCTGCTTCTTGGGAGGATGTCCCAGCCTTCCGCGACCGTTATCCAAGTTTCCAGCTCGAGGACAAGCTGTTTCAGAATGGAGGGGGAGATGTCATGTGGGGCCAGACTTATAGGCGCAAGGGCCCTGCACCACCCTAGTTCTGTTCCAGTTTAATTATAGAGTCCTAGATTTAGGTTAAAGAGTCTGGGTCTTAGTTGGAAAGGTTTAGTCCCGAAGAAGGTTACCCTGCCAACACCCAATTAGAGTTGGAGTCTGTCACGTCATTGTAATAGGCCACTTACAGCCAGGAATCTGTCACGTCATTGTAATAGGCTACTTATAGCCACCCCTATGGGATCGAGAAAAACAACCAGAAAATAATCTATCTTCTCACCTCGTGCACCTGCGCCGCGGCACCCCCTCCTCACCTCTTTCTCCAACCATAGGCCGACGAGAGTTTCGCCCTCGTCCTCCGACCTCCCACGACTACAACCTCCGGTCCAATCCAACCCCAGCCCGTGACAACCAGTTTGACTGCAGAACAGACCTCTCCTTTCATAATTAAGCTAACCATGCTTTAACATTGTCACAGATTATGTGCATTCTCAGTTTTCACTAATACGAACTAAATTTGCATAATTCATATTTGTTTATCATCATTTCAGATAACAAACCAGACAAAACACCAGCGATAATAAAGCAAGTGTCATAGTTACCTTTTCTTCTGACTCTGCCGTGGCTTCATGAAAATTCTCAGTTGTCTTCCCATTTTCAGCAGTACAGCTCTGGCAGAAAAAGTGTTCTCGTTTCTTTGCTTCTTTAATGGTCATTCCAATACAAGAAGGGTGAAACCTGAAAAACAAAAGCAGCAGTTATAACCTCAAGTTCAAAGGGACTCGAATTCCTGGAGGCAGATGATTACTTAGCACGCACAGATGCACCAACAGAGACCGGAATAGATGGAAAAGAAAACATATTTGTTTGAACAAACAAAAAATTATGGTGCACCCTATTTATGTACACACACTATTCAAGAACTAACCAGGCATACTCTGCACATTAAAACTACAAAAAAAAAATATCATTCTATATGTCCCGATTGACTACTTGCTTTTTGCCACCATTTAGAATAGACAAACACTAACAATTAGCTTAACATGCACTCGCAAGCAGTGTAAGGACTTGTTGACAGAAGGTTATAGAGTCAAGGCATTAATTTATGCAATGTCACCAATTAAATAAATTAAATTCTGGATCTAAATACAAAAACAATAGTACCTCACAGGAAAATGAATGCACATGCTGCTGACTCATGCTTGTTATGGAAACATACCCTGAGTTATGGAAACATGGACATGGAAAATAGAATCACATAAGCTCGTTTAATAATTCAGTTAGGCGCAATGGGGTCAGATATTTCAGCTAATAGTTTGTAATCACTCTCCAAAATTCCCTATATGTGAGCCAGAAACTATAAAATCATTAAATCACATGCAGCTCCAGAATTTGAGCCGAAGCACAGTTCAGGGTCCTAATATAAAGAAAAATCAGAATGTCGTTTTTGGTATTTGGGGCTATTGACCATCAAGGGGAGAGAAAGTGTGGCAAAAATAGAGTTGCACCTAGGGGTGGGCATATAACCCAAAACCAATTTAACCTGGACCAAAGCCGAAGTGACCGAAACCGAAACCTTTGGTACTGAGCTTGGTTAGCAATTTTTAAAAACCAAATTAAGTTCGGTGATTTCGGTATGTACCCTCGGTCCACCAAACTGACCGAAGCACCGACGCCCTACCCCTAATTCTTCTCTTCCCAGCTGCCGCACCCCACAGAACTGGCGCCGCCTCCTTCCAAAACGCTGCTCGTCCCAAATCGCCTCCTCCCAAAATCACAGCACAGATCAATCCTTGCCCTCCCCAAGACCGCAAGTCTCGCGTGCGTGATCTGTACCTTCCATGGCCGCTTGATTTCTTGTCTCCCAAGCACTGTATATGAGTTGTGAATCACTGCAGCCCGATGCATCACTGCGCCGCCTGCCCGCCCAAATCCCTGGCCCCGGGCCGCGACAACATCAGGTCCATTTCCGCACAGGAAGAAGAAAGTTGGCTGCTGCAAGCCATGGCAAGTGGCTGGATGGATTCTGTATCGAACGCTGCTGCTTGCCTGCAACATAAGTAGTTGAATTATATTCGGTCATATTCTTGATTCCATCCAGATCCAAGTTCATGATTTGATCCTAGTTGTGATGTGTACCGTCCTTGTCTGAATCAAGGTTTGCTTTGTGTTCTAGATGTCTTCCGAGATAGGAGTCTCATGCTATTGTTCCCATGGACAAGGAGGGTGAAATAAGGAGGCTTGAAAGCATATGGCTGCAAGATCAGAGATGTGTAACCATTTCAAGAAGATCAAGGTTGATGGTGTTTGCAGAAGGCAAAATGCAACTACTGCGAGACCGACATCGCCACTCATCCGATCATCAATGGTACATCTGCTTTGCACAAGCACTTTCATGTTTGCAGGTGTAATCCTCATAAGAATATAGGTGAGATAAGCAAGCTGTGCTGCAAGTAAATCATCCATGAAGGTTGAAGAATAAGCAATAAAGCTTGAAGTTTAGAAGATAGGAGATTGGCAGATGGCAGCGGCGCAACACTACTGATCCAGTGCGCTTCCTGCTGCTTGTCTTCTTCTATTTCGTTTTATCAAACTGAAGTGTTAAGTCAGACTTGTCAATGCTGTCGTGTGTGCTAAACTACAGCTGGTTTGCTGGTGCTGTCTGTTGAGTCGAATTTGCTATGTTTATGCCCAGTTTATGTTAATTATCTCAAAGTTAGTCTCTGTCACTTGTTTACTGTCATTCTTATTTGTCAAGGAACTGTGTGGTACAGGGTATATGCTGGCAAAAATTTCTGTACATAATTTGCAGCTAATCGCCTGTACCAACCCAGCCATTTTTCTATACATAATTTGCAGTTGATCACCTGTACCAACCCAACCTGATCACCTGTAAGCCTACATGTTGTCTCTACGATTAGCTGCAGTTCAGCTCTACTTGAAACAATGATTTATCGCCTACCTTTTATACCTCATGTCTAATATCAAAAAGACAAGACACACACCTCCATTTGTACACAAAACAGAATGATATAAAATGCACCAGAGCGGAAAAGGTATAACTATGTCATCATGAACCAATTATACAAAATACACATGGAATGGAGGTCATCATCAAAGTATCAAGGTGATGATGACCTTTTCAAAATGAACCGCAACAGAATGATACAAAATGAACCAGAGGAACCGACACCCGTGACTTTGAAAAGTTAATTTGTACTACCTCTGTAAAGAAATATAAGAGCGTTTAGATCACTAAAGTAGTGATCCAAACACTCTTATACTCCCTCCGTTCCAAATTACTCGTCGCAGAAATGAATGTATCTAGAACTAAAATACATCTAGATACATCCATTTCTGCGACGAGTAATTCGGAACGGATGGAGTATTTCTTTACAGAGGGAGTATTTTTCAAATATACGATTTACTCACCAGTCAGAGCATTCCTCACATTGGATCATAAGGTCATCAGGATTGTACGGCATCTCACACTTGCAAAACCTGTCACATTGTAGAGAAAGACACGATAATAACAGTAAACAAGAGATTCTGATTCAAAGACTGTACAGAAATCGAACATGCAAATAAGGGAGGCACGCAAAGCCTAGCAAGAAAGAGGGATTTGATTGAGATTACATACAAGAGTGGAAGAAAATAGACTTTGATCAAATATTATAAAACAAGAAGCACGATTTAATGGGACAACAAACAGCAACAACTTTTTCCCAAATATAGCTGCTATAGCAAACAAGGGATTACTCTTCGATTGTGGACAATATAAGCCTGATACACATGCTAAAGCATGCATTGTGTACCACGAGCCCAACACATGAAATGCCAACAACTGTTGACATAAACCTTGCATTTTTTTTATGTCCCTTCCTATTGCCTTACATGCAAGAAAATAGTTGTGTTGCCTCTTTAGGAAAATAACTAAAACAGGCCAATAGATGGGTTGTGAATATGCAAAAAATTATCATCATATCATCAAGGGTACAAACTTGATAACCTTTGGGATAAATATAGACATCATTCATTAACAAAACTAGGAAAACTATTTATAGTCAATATCATCGTAAAGTTAGGAATGCATCACTTATATAATGAACTGTCATGCCAAAAAACTAAATTACACAGTGCATTGAGTATCCATCTACCAACAATAAAACATTAGAGGTTGCATTGGATTCTTACACAGCTATACGGTCGGGCACGAAACTGCCAGATGCTGATTTGTAGTCAAAGCGACAGAAGAAGTCCTCGGCATTCACAGAATCAAGCTTTGTGTAGCTACGGAAGCTGTGGACATTGCATTTTCCCTCTATTGTGTCAGCACTCTGTACATCATAGTGGTCAGAGAGGAATACCTCTTTGGAACCATGAAATGGTCGCCTCCCACCAATGGATTCTTCTGGACGATAGTACCATCGAACCCGTACTCTCACATTTGTGCCTCGAGACCCTGCTGCCTCAATGGACTCAACTTTTGCCACATATGGTGGCTTTGATGTATCAGCTGATCTCATTAGCACACAGTCCCCAGCTGAAAGAAACACGTGGGAAAATCAGACAAAAGCCAGATTAGTCTTAATTGGTTCGTTTTGAAAAGGTCATCATCAAAATATCAAGGTAATGCCGGATCACAATGAGATAGTGATATTATGGAGCATGGAAAAGTGAGGTCAATACAGCAAGACATACATTCAGCAATAAAATGGACATCAAAGCATCCATATTCTCATATCATTACACATCTGGATAGGTGCAAAAAGTAACGGTTCACTGTCCCTGTTTTTTACCTTCTGTGCAACATTTCTAAGACTCAAAAAATAGAATGTCAAAAGTATACATCCTACCACCCGGTGGTAGTTACCCTCACATCTTAAATACTAGCGTGTGATAGTATATATACTACTCCCTCTGTTCACTTTTATAAGTCCTTGAAGACATTTGAGACAACATGTAAAACAGCCTATTTTCAGTTGTCTGAAATGACTTATAAAAGTGAACGGAGGGAGTACTTTATCATTCTCAGTATGTTTATATACTAGTATATCTAAGATTTTTCAAAGCGAGATCTATGAAAAACTTGCATGTCAGTCCATACTTTTTAGTTTATTTTGAAAATACTTTCATATTTGTAAGTATAAAAAGATAATACTAATAAATTGTACATACGACCAAAATATTGTTATACATACTACATACTACACGTACATACTCTCGGTTTTAACATATACTACATACAACATACTCCCTCCGTATCCAAATATAAGTCTTTCTAGAGATTTCAACAAGTGACTACATACGGAGCAAAATAAATGAATCTATACTCTAAAATATGTCTACATACATCCGCATGTTGTAGTCTATTTGAAATGTCTAAAAAGACTTGTATTTAGGAACAGAGGGATAACAAAACTCATGTGAGGGTAACTACCACCAGGTGGTAGGAAATATTTGTCCAAATACGTCACATCCCCAATATGTCCTAATTTGTCCTAAAGTATTGTTATATATATGTCAGCAGTACAGGGGCAGGCACCTCTCTCAAGATGGATAAGGCGGGTCACGATCACGTACCAAAGACAGGCACCGGTTGGCACGGCTCGGGGCCTTGGTGGATGGACAAGCCCTGAGCACCAAGACCCCTGGGACCCGTCCGTAAATTTCCTCGTGGAAGCAGTGGGCCTCCCGGTGGGTCCCCAGGGCAAGTTGCAAACATATGAGTTTATGTGCCATTGGCAGAAATATATCTCCCTACTATGCTTCCCTCTCACGCCTATGCTTCCTTCGCATGGCGAAGAGAAAAAATAGAGTGAGCCACGCACACACATCCCATGCCTCCATCTCCGCCATCACCACTGATACCCTCCTCGCGGTGACGCCCACCCACGATCTCCCCTCTCCTCTTGCAAACCACCTGATCTCACGGGCTCTTAGGAGCTGTTTCTTCATCCGTTCCGGCCCCCACTGCCCCTCTCCTCTTTCCCCTCACTCCCTCCCATGTCTGCCTGTGGGTCCTACATGGCCCGCCGCCTATATCACCATCAAGCGGCCAACTCTCCGGCACCATCCCCGCCTCCCCACCTCCATCTACGGATCCTGAGGTGAAGACGCCCGTGTGCACCCGTCAGCTAGCCATGTGCCTACCTAAGGCCCAACTGTTAGTATTGTGGTTACAAACATACTTCTGTTTGTCCATCAGTTTGGGGGTGAAATGCATAACTGAGTTGTAGTTTGACGCCAGCAAGACGTACAATCTTGGTCCAAAAATCGCTGGTAAATACTGGGTCGCGATCACTGACAATGGACGACAGAAATCCATGAAGACGGACTATGTTAGCAAAGAAGGCCTTGGCAACAGAGCTAGCAAAGTATGAATGTCCCAAAGCAATGAAGTGGCTATATTTCGAGAAACCGTCGACAACAATCAAGATGACCGACTTACCACCAACCGTCCGAGGGCCCTCCACAAAGTCCATGGAAATGTCTATCCAAACATGCTGAGGGGCCAGAAGGGGTTGGAGAAGGCCACGGAGATGCAAATGCCCAGTCTTGTTGCGTTGGCACACGACAAAACACCGCACAATCTCCTCCACCACCGCTTGCATGGGAGGGATGTAAAAATTGTCACTCAACCGGGAAGTGTCTTTCGAACACCCTCATGACCCAAGTCATGGGCATCTGCCAAGAATGCAAGAAGGCAAAGTGAGGTCAGTGTGACGTAGACTCGTCCTTTATGGAGAATGAGGTCATCGGTGACGCTCCGAGCCCTGCAGCCATCCCTGCTTCAATGGAGTCACTTCGTGTTGTAAGGTCTGCAGTAGTGTCAATTTCTTGGTGCGGATCATCAAAAAGTTGAAACTGAGGACATGAGAGCAAAGACAGCCCTAGCTCACGCCTGGAGAGAGCATCAGCCACTGTATTTTGACGGCTTGGTAGATACTCCATAGTGAAGTCATATCCCAGCAGCTTGCTTACCCATTAATGTCGCGAAATGGTGGGAAGGTGTTGGTCAATCAAGTACTTCGGGTTACAGTGGTTCATTCTTATTTTGATGCTCCGGCCCCACAAGTACAGACTCCAACGTCACTAAACTTCCACCAATCCAATCAGCTTACTCTCACAAGCTACTAGCTTGGCATGGCATGTGCCACCGCCCTGCTGAAGAAAGCAAGAGGTATGCCCCTTGGTGTACCAGGGCTTCAAAGTCCGTGCCAGATGCATCACAATCCACCAAGAACGGAGAGTCAAAGTGTGGTAGCTGCAACACAGGTGCTGCTGCGAGGCCCTGCTTGAGCGTGCAAAAGGCCGCATTGGCCCCTGAGGACCACATAAAACCTTCTTTCTTGACGAGCTTGGTCGATGGAGCTGAGAGCACACCGTGCTCCTAGATGAACTTGTGATAATACCCATTAAGCCCAAGGAACCCGCAAAGGGCACGGACACTTCGTGGTTTTGACCATGCCTCCACCGCTTCCACCTCAGTAAGGTCCATAGCGACGCCGTTTGCTGAGATGATATGGTCCAAATAGGCCACCTTGCGCTCACCAAAGAAGCACTTGGAATGCTTCAGGAATAACTGACATTGCTGGAGGAAAAGCAAGACAACACACAGATGACGAAGGTATTCTGTCCAAGACTTGCTGCAGATCAAAATATCATCAAAGGAAACGAGTACAAATTTCTGAAGAAAAGGACAAAGAAAAACATTCATCAAAGCTTGGAGCGTGACTTGTGTGTTGGTGAGAGGCCAAAAGGCATCACCAAGAACTTGTAATGGCTGTGATGCGAGCGAAAGGTGGACATCTTGGCTTGGCTCGTGCATGCACTTGATGATATGTAACACTCATAGTCTTGGTTGTTCTAGGATCACTTCTTGATCACAGTTGCTCGATCGTGCCTTTGCCTTCTCTTCTCGCTCTCATTTGCGTATGTTAGCCACCATACATGCTAGTACAAGCTCGGGTGAGCCTCTGTTGGCATCGCTCCTTTAGAAGGAGTGGTCCGAGAATTATAAGAAGGAACTCGTCTATCGAGCCAAGGACTCCGCATCCGGGGTTGTTATCGTCAGGAAGGTCATCCTCGGCATAGAAGACCAGTTCGGGGGCTACTGGCGGTGTCCTCGGGGGCTACTGGCGGTGTCCTGGATTGAGGATGCTAACCTAGTCGGCCCATGATCCTTGGGTTGGGCCGATGGACCCTCATTCATGGTCAAGACAGACTCCGGAGGCCGTATGCAGGAGGCGTGATCAAGACTACCTCCATCGTAGACTTGACGTATACTCCAAGAGCTCTCCTGCCGCCTTGCTCCTAGATACCGACCTTGTAACCCTAGATACCCTCCCTGGCGTGTATACAAGTCATAGGGTTTAGCCCGTAGAGGGGATATCAACACAATATCATTCACCTAGCTCTAGAATTAGACCACATATTACGATCTCGAGGTAGATCAACTCTGTACTTGATACCTCTCCACTAATATAAACAAGAACAGGACGTAGGGTTTTACCTACATCAAGAGGGCCCGAACCTGGGTAAAACATCATCTATTTGTTCTTGTTACCATCTGTTCGAGATCCACATCTCGGGACCCCCTACCCCGAGGTCTACCAGTTTTGACACCGACAAATACCATCATTAAGTTGGTGGTAGTCCACACAAAACCACCATGTGCCATCCAGTTTCTTAACAACAATCGCCGGGGAAGAAAATTCAAGGTTACTTTCTCAGATGATACCTTGTTGGAGCATATCCTCGCATTGGCGTTCAGTCTCATCCTTCTAGAACTCAGGGTAACAGTATAGGTGAACTGCAATAGGGGATGTTCCTGGCAGGAGCCGAATGCGATGGTCGCACATGCGCGCCGATGGTATGCTACACGGCTTATCAAATAGTGCCTTGAACCCTTGCAGAAGTACGACCATGGAGAAGAAAATTAGGAAGTTGGAGAATCAGCTAAACCCGCTAGCACCAACACCGTTGCTTGTCCCGGCAGCTATAGTAGAGGAAGAAGAGGCCATGAAAAAGGTGCTCTACCACACTAATGGAGAGAAGGCCAGTACGAGTTGAGTTCATACAATTCAATGGACGATAAATGTTTACCATGGTCATTTAACAGTCAAAATCTGTTTTCCTCACCACAAATCAGATCACTAAATATCTAATATAATGAATTTATCAAGCCCACTATGGATTGTAGTAAATTCTCCACCTTCACTACTGATGTCATAGTCGACTGTTGGCAGTTTCATGCTATATATAGCAAAACGTATTATTTGCCTAATTACTCGGTGTATGGATAAGTATATAATTAAATGGCAGTTAAGGACTTCAGTTATGTACAAGGCCATGTAAAGTGCATTTATGATATACTAAGAGATAGGGTGTCTGGTAATTGTTATTCAGAATATTGCATAGTTGTAAGTTGCATGCCATAACACAAATGCACAATAAAGGGAATTTAATTGACACATAATTTAGAGTGGTAATCTTATATACCTAAGAGATTCATCCCCCTAACCTATTTATCTTAACATGCAAGCTATCCACCTCACCACACAAGCCCCACACATGTATTACTTCATTTCCTAGACATGCACCCATCCCACGTCAGCAATCTAGCCAGGTAAGCAAAACTGAACATGTACATGCATGTCATTCGTCCAGTTTGGACCGTCCCTTTCTCTTTCCAACCATACATTAGCGACCGAGCCCTCTCTCTGATACAGAAAAAAATATAACCAAGCCCTTTCTCTCAGAAAAAAGAAGAAACTTCTCCTCACCGCATGAGGGCCCTCCTGCGACTCCAACCACCGTCAGCTCGCGTCCGACAGCTCTATGGGTCGGACCGCCTCCAATCTTTCTCCACGGAAACTCTCCATATTCTTGACGCTAATTACTCTCCCACAATTGATTCCCGTCTCCCTCTTCACCTTCTCCACTGAATGCCATTCTTCTACCTCCCATTACCTCTTTGCAGCAAAGAAGCAGATGAATTTCATTCTTCCTCCTCATGGAGGAGTATCCCGATTCATTGTGGGTGGCTCATCGGTTCTACCTTGCTGTATACTACAGGTCCCCGGTCGGTCTCATCTCAGGAGTTCAAGAAAGAGGCTAGGAGGAGTAGGCCGTGAGGATTCCACTATCGGTCACCCGAGCTCTCCGCAGATCGAGGAGGGAGATTAACAGGTGGATTTTGTTCAGGCGCAACTTGGATGCAGATCTTCCTTGGGGAACATAAGGGAGACGAGGACAACAATCCAAAGAGGGTCAATAGTGAGGCACCAATTGGCCATATACCAGGAAAGCCAGTGAGATTGATGGGATGAATCTGAAGTCTCTGTTGTTGAAACGCATAGCCTGTTGGTGCCGCACGTCGTAGCCACATCTGCAGTCATTGTCGTTGGTTGCGACCTGTTCCAATCCCCTTTCCATACCAGTTTCTTCCAGATCCCTCCTACCCGACTTCCTCTACTCTGATGCTTCTTTATTGTATCCTGCACTTGACTGTAAATTAGTTTTCTTGCGCCTTCCTTGAGTTTTTTCAGAGACGAATCGAAGTTGGAATTATGAGTCACACGCGTGTGTTATCATATAAGTATTTCCCAAACTCAATATATCAGCAGGTTATCAGCACTATAGTCCTCTATCATTTGCAATAATATATGCATCGAACCAAATTCATCATTCATTTCAGTTCCTTAATCCTTGATCACTGTAACTTTATTGAGTCTCAAAGTCATTTTGTTTATTTATGTAATTTGTGCTTGATCTTAAACCATTGCCAATTGGAGATTTGGTTTTAAGTGATCAGTACTGCCACGGTTCATGACCATACAGTTACTAATTTTTTTGAGAAGAGAAGCTCTGATCTATACTTCTACTATTGTTTTTCCTGTCCTCTGTGCAGATTCTGTTCTCGGTGTGTATTCTTTTCTGATGTCCATCAACGAGTTGTCTGATTAAAATCAAAGCAGGTTAGCCATCTTGCTTAGTATGTACTATTGTCATCTAGGATTTTTTAGTCTGATGCATATATTCAAGAAGCTTGCAATTGCAAAAGTTTTTTCACAGCGCTAATACACACACTACCAATTGTACTATGACCACATTCTTATTCTTCCAATTTATGGTTATGTTATTCTTACATTTGTGTACTAAGTTCATCTTTCTTTGTTTTAAGCTACCCTATTTCTCCTTGAGAGTAACATATAACATATACATGTGATGCTAAAACTGGTAAACAAAGATCGTGCTTACAGACTTGCCAACACATGGTGTATTTTTGGGTATGTGCAGGTTGTCTTTCAGGCCAGTAAAAGTATTTTTATTGTTTCGGTCGTTTGTTGTAAATTGATTTGTATATATGGTAATATGGAATTTGGTTATCCTATTTAGTTTATTAAATTCTCGCCATCATGTTTTGTTGTACATTTGTTGGTAGTACAATCAACTCTGGATAATTGCAAGAGAAGTAAACTATATTCCTTTTGGATTGCAACTATATATATCTTCTTTCTACAATATACCAAGTTTACTTACATTGGTTATTTTAATATGTATGTCTAAAGTAGAATGGAATTTCCACATTTTCTATGTGTCCTCTAAGAATGCACCGCGTGAATTATGAGCATTGCATACTAATATCCCGCAGCAACGCGCGGGGAATCATCTAGTTCATAAAGGTCATAACAGAACAACAGAGCTTCCTATGTGTAACCTATTCTACCCAACTTAATTCAAGCGGACTGCATGTGCACGAGCACATAAGACACACTATCCAACTTGAAATTTTGAAGATACAAAATTTGGCCACAGACATAGAAAACTTGAGTTTTAATGCGGAGCACTGTCATCGGTGGTAACCAATTGATCTATCATTTTGTAAAATTCAAAAAACACAGCAAAAATGATGTGTTAAAATGTCCTTTCAAGTTTGAATGTGCTAATTTCTTCTTGAGCTGGCTAGCAATCCAGCTTATCCCCGAAGTGAACAGCAAAAAATATTTATGTGTTCACCATGGTTC